TTCACTATTTCAAGTTAGGGATTGCCTTATAATGCACATTGGTGATTTTCTTCATGTATATCGTATCCACTCCCAACGTCATTTTTAATTTCCTCTTCAGATGGAAGCTGTTTTGTTCCCTCCCACAGAAGGCTGTTGCTGATAGTATCCGTCCAATGAATGTTGAATATTTTGCGTAAACAACTGTTTATAAATACTTGTATCTTCTTGACGATTAATGTAATAGTTCTTCACGTTTCAGCTCCGTACATTAGGACTGTACAAAAGTTCTTATAATGAAGTTATAACTGTCCAGTAAATTTTTCACAAATGTCTATACAAAAGTATTAACCATAGAAAATTTCACTTTCACTCTTTCATAAAAAAACAAAAGTTAAAAATCATTATGCATTACATATTCTAACTCGTTATGCCCCTCATTGCGTAACAGTGTATTGCTGAAATTGTATTTCCTTATAAAAAAAAACTATTATCTAGTGTATAACTTGATTAATATGAAGTTATCTTCTGCGTATATGTATCTCTTTCTGATATTAGTTTTTCCTTAACTGGAAAACTGATACTGTTTAACCATGTAAATATGTACAGGAAACTAATTTATTAAAGGACTAGTTTGTCTCTCACTCTCTATCTCTAACTCTCTCACACTAAATCTATACATATCGGAACACAATTAACGTATGATATGCATTAGGTACAGACTATGCACATAAATCATGATACCAGACAACACATGGCAACAGTTATGATAGGTCAAATAGACCTAAATGCATTAAATGTCAAATGTATTATGTTTTATATAAATCGAGAATCTTTTATAAAAGAGATTGATTTCAATAATATATTCACTTCTTAAATGACTTATGTTCTATTGCTTTTTGCATATTTGGTATATTTTAGTTATTGACAATGGATAGTAAAAGTTCGATTACATTCTGTTATAGTGTAATTGGTGGTGGTCGATTTTCGATATTAACCCTAAGCTTCGTATATTGTTCGTCTTGATAAACGTTACTCGACAACGTCCTAACGATGTATAAATCAGAAGACGAATACGAAGGATTGATCGCGTTTATTACTGAACCACACACAGTTATCCAATATTACAGGTACGTCAAACAAGCATGAAAAAGCAGTGCCGTAGAGCCGGATGAATGAGTAAGCATGTACAGTACGGTGTAGCGTAATACAGAGCAGAGCAGAGAGCAAGCAGGGCAAGAGCAGTAAACAGGATTAAGATGTACATATATATATAAGTGGAAAAGCATGAATCTCGGATCAAATAAGCGATTAATAATAATGCTAGTGGAATGAATATATGCGTAGGCAGTGAGCAATGTTCAAGTGTATATAATAAAAGTACGATGGTATAGATGGGTTGTTATTGTATGAATGACTGTCCATTAAATAAGTTAACAAACGGGCTTAACTGAATTAGATGCAAACAAACTCAATTGTATCTGAGTTGCTATAAATTCATTTGGTATGTAATGGATGTAGTCTTGGGTAGGATAGACAAATTAGTTGTTTTTGTCAAAATCAAAAAATGTTTTGAGATAAGATAGTGGTTGGAGGTGGTCAACAGGAAACCCTGAACACGGGTTTCGTGCTACTTGGCACTTGTCAGCAAGGTGTACCTGTAATCTTGAGGGAACTGATGCTCCCTGAAGAGATTCGATTCCGTGCCAATCAGCTCCACAGTCGGAGACGTTACCACTGAGTTTTTCTAGCCGCGACCGACCTCCTGTACGATAGAGATGTAATCACAATTGATTGGTCACTGGTTGGTGATCAATGTCATGCCGTCCAGTGCTCCCAAGTTTTTCATGGTGGTCTAGCTTCAATTAACTCATAATTTCAACTGCATATCATTAATTACTTATAATTCTTAGAAAATTTTATTAAGAGATGTAATAAAAATTTACAATATTACTTAACGAGTTCAGTGGTAAGCAGTTCCCAAATACAGCTTGATTAAAAAAATGCCATAACCAAGTTCTATCCAAAAGTATAAAATAATGTTGGAGAAGATTTGTAGCCCGGGTGGGTGAATTTGATGTAAACTTGTTCTCTTAGCTGGATGGCTTGGTCGTGGAGATTTCTTCGTCCTTCTGAACGATATCATCAGCACAAACTCCGGGGAGAAGGACGATGATAGCTCCACAACCAAACCATCCAACTCAGAGAATAAACCTACATAAAATAATGTATTGAAGATAAATTACTTTGATACTTTGATAATAAACACTTGTCGTTATTTATTTGTATCATCCCAATGACATGCAGGTACATCCAGTTGACGAGTTCCCAAATAGAACGAAACGCGCGTCCTGAATTCCACTTTTAGCCACTTATCATCTTTGCTTTCACAATAATGATTTTAAAAGTATAAAACTTATAAATATGTGAACATGTCGTATTGAATACTGAATTATTTAATTGTATTAATGATCAATACAAGAGTTAGGTAAATTCAAAAGCAAACACACATGAACTAAAATGAAGGAGATAGAATGTTTTTCTATCCAGATGTGAATTTTAGACATGATCGATTAGAAAATGACTAAGTTCCTGTACCTGTAATCGTTGAACATAGGCCTATAGTTTGTTGTTAGGCGATAAAAATGAACTATCAGTAAACTGTAAATATGGATCTGTGTTAGTTGAGATTGATCAACTGAGGTTATCAACAGTTAAGAAGAAACTGAAAATCCATTTGCAAAGTGATTATTTAGCGACCTTTATTGTAATAAAAGACTTTATCAGTAAATTAATAAAAAACTTCCACAACGTCTTGTTGCATTGCTTCCGCATATCTGTATGGTAATTGATTGACAAGGATTACTTCCAAGTGAGCAGTTATTGTGGATGTGTATGGTTTGTTGAATTGAAAAACAGTCAGTAATGTTCTACAAAATTTCGTATTTACATATATAAATTCCATTTGACTGACAAGTTTAAAAAATAAGAATAATAAGAACAAAATTCAGCCGGTTCAAACCGATATGTATCTATTTCCTAATCATCCAATGAAAGTAATGAAAAAAATTCATCTCTCCAAAGCTTCATCAATACAAATGTGGAGACAGTTCTATTGTATCGGGCGGGGACGTAGAGAATTACCACAACCATTATCCAGAAGATACAAATGTTTATTAACAGCTGTCTGCGCAAGAAACTTCGGATCCGATGGCCAGACACTATCAGCAACAAGTTACTGTGGGAGACAACAAATCAGATTCCAACGGAGGAAGAAATCAGGAAGAAGCGCTGGAAGTGGATAGGGCACACTTTGAGGAAATCACCTAATTGCGTCACAAGACAAGCCCTCACATGGAATCCTGACGGTCAGAGGAGAAGAGGAAGATTAAAGAACATATAACGCCGAGAAATAGAGACAGACATAAGAAGAATTAACAAGAACTGGATAGAACTAGAAAAGAAGGCCTAGGACAGAGTGGGTTAGAGAAAGCTGGTCGGCGGCCTATGCTCCATTGGGAGTAACAGGCGTAAGTAAGTAAGTAAGCAAGTAAGTGAGTAAAGCTTCATCAATTGTTTGAAGAACTGGATTGTTTGTACTAGCCGACTCTGTTCTATTGACTTGTAATGTCTGCTGCTGATAAAACATAAGAAGATTGTTACACTTATCAACGGAAATCGCTTATTTTTTAATGATTCTGTTAATTGTTCTCTGTTTCTAACTAAAATATATGTTGTCAGAACAGGCATTTGTGGAGAATGTTCATATTCTATTATTCGAATTCATGAGTTGATATAAGTAAGACTACCATTGAATACCGAAAGTTCTGGGTTCAAGTCCCATATAAGGGATCATGGATGCACACTGCTAAAGAGTCCCATACTAGAATGAAACGGATCTCCAGTGCATCCAAATTTTCAATCATGGTCTAGCTTAAATCTACTCATGAGTTCAACTATTAAGAGTTATACATACTATCAAAAGTGCATTACGAAAAATAACTTCACTTCAACAAGTAATATGTCAATACAGAAATTAATGTATTCTTAAAACAAATATTACATTTTTTTTGAGAAAATATCTGATGAGTATTTGTATTTAATATGTAAAAATAAATGTGAAATGATTTTAGTAGTTTCGATTGAAGCTAGACAACTATAGAAAACCTGAAAGCACTAGGAGGCCGTTTAGTCTTATTGTAAGAATCCTCAACAGTGTGCATCCGCAATCCCGTCTGGCGAGATTCGAACCCAGGACCTATCGGCCTTGCGTGCGAAAGCTTAACGTTTAGATCGCTGAATCAGCATCCAACGGTATTAAAGTCTAACTTCAATTTACTCATGAATTCAACTATAAAATCATTAAAATCTCCACAAAACCCTTTCTCATAATAATCATATGCTCACTGGTTACTGGTTTCAAGAGGTATTTCCTGCAGTTCTAGTGAGAAGCAGTGATCAGTGGAGTTTAACCATGTCCTTTGTGAGATATCAACTCATTCAAGACAATGTTGTATGTGTCGCTCAATTTCGTGGGTCTGTTACGTGATACCAAATCAATGAAAACAATGATAGACGGTTGCTGAATTGCGGGGATCGTTTTAAATTAGATATTAACACCGTTGAATACCGGCTGGCTCGGTGGTCTGATGGTTAGGCATTTGTTCGCGAAACTAATAGGTCCTGTGTTCGAATCTCGCCAGTGTGGGATGGTGGATTCGCACTGCTGAAGAGTTCCACAATAGGACAAGACAGCCGTCCAGTGCTTTCAGATTTTCTATGGTCGTCTAACTTCATTTGACTCATGATTTCAGCAATGTAAAATTTGTAATTTCTCAATATTTTCTAATACTAACTTTTTTCTATGCATTTAGTGAATTCAACCGCATATTCTGTGCTCACACAAATAAATGAAACAAAATTTTTTCAAATAAAATATAAACACACACGTACGTACGCACTTTTTGTATTTCTATAGAATAAAACATTATGAATGTATGCATATGTTTACTACATAATCGATGTCTTTGAAGTCAAGCGGAAAATCATTGACTTTAACATTATCATCATCATCATCATCATCAACGTCATCATCATCATCATCATCATCATCATCATCATCATCATCATCATCATCATCATCATCATCAACGTCATCATCATCACATAGAATGATAAAACGACAAAATAACTTCAAAGAACAAACAAACAAACAAACAACCTTCTAACACCTAGAAAAAAAGACAATGACAATAAAGTAGGCAATGAATATGATTCGAATAAAAAGGTATCTGTAGTTAAAATGGATTCGAATATTATGGTATAACGCTACAATGATTTCATTCAATATTCATTATTTAATCATTTTTCCTATTGAATAAACATAAATAAATGATAATAATAATAAAAAGAAAAATTAAGTTTTATTTAAAATATTATGAGTGAACAGGTTAACAACACTTGGTTAATTTAAACTATAGTTACTATGACCAGTCAATGAGAAAAAGGGGAGAGGGGAAACACCGAACCATTCATAATTGAATGTGAACAATAGTGTTGTGTTTTTTTTATAAAAAAAATATGTTGTAACTAGTGTAAAAGGGAAAAAAAAGGAAACAACAGATAACATAATGGTTACATTGAATGATATGGGATAATTCATTTCTTTTCGTTTGTTTTTTTTCCCACTTTTATTTTTAACAAAAATGACATTCAAATTAAATACCCAGTGATAAATTTATAGTTTTTTAAAAAAAATTTTTATTTGATATCAGAAGGGTATTGTGGATATTAAAGTAATTTTAATAGTTGAAATTATAAGTCCATTGAAGCTAGACAACTATAGAAAACTCGGAAGCACTGGAAATCCGTTTTGTCCTATTGTGGGACTCCTCAGAAGTGCACATCTACGATCCCACACGCGGCATTTGAATCCGGGACCTACCGGTCTCGCGCGTGAACGCTTAATATCTAGACTACTGAGCCAGCATCAAATGATGTTAATATATAACTTCAAACAATCCCCGAAACTCAGCAACCGTCCACCATTGTCTTCAGTGAGTTGATATCTCATAACAGACCTGATTGAACACCACTGATCACTGCTTCTCACTAGAACTGCAGGAAATACCTTTTAAAGCCCATCACTAATGAGCATATCATTATAACCAGAAATGGCTGTTTAGTGCTTCGAGGTTTTCCATGGTGGCTTACTTGATTTGACTCATGATTTCGACTATGTAAATTTACTAGAATCTCCACAAAGCCCCCTTCTAAATTACAAATTTTTTTTGTGCATGTGTGTATATGTGTTCATGAATTACTGATGGACATCCTTCATGGATATATATATATATTTATATATATCTGTTTGACACACACACCTCACATGTTCCTCTCACACATATCCAAACTCTACTAATTTCACACTAAGCAAACAAATAATTTAATAAATTCGAACTCATAAAATATAAAGTTTGATCGATAAACTGTGAACTGAGATTATAGTTCCAACTTGATTTTATTCATTAAAATAAAGATAAATATGAGAAATCACAGAAAAGAATGTAACTGACGATGAGTGTGTAGCTGAGTGAATGAACGAGCGAGAAAGAGATAAACAATCGATTATAGAGAAAACAGATTTTTGCTTTTTGAAAAAACCAAACAAAAGAGAAGTTCTTTGAAGTTAAATGACTATTCATAGTAGATGGCATAAATGTTAGACAATGTAAGAGTTATGAGTTATTCATAAACTTACTTATACAATTATTAAAAGAATTAATTTGACTGGATAATACTTGAACTTTTAACCAAGGAACAGTTTCATTTGGTACTCCGCTTTTATATAAATGCATAGTGTTTATCAGACATGTTATAATCAACAAAGAGATTTGTTTGATTGTTTTGAAGAATCACCTTGTAAGTATAGACTATGTTTTATACAAAGGAGCTTACACTTTATTAATCAAAATAGTTTCAAATCACTTGAGTTCACTGGAATGGCTTAACTTCCTAACTTACACAGTATTAAAGTTGAGGCTATATCGCATCATGAATCCCTAACCTGAATGCATGACTATTGTACTTCGTAAATACAATTTTATCTACTAAGTAATTTGGAATCTAGGAAGCGCGTTTCGTTCTATCTGGGACAAGTCAGTTAAAATGTACCTGGATTCCAGTGCTAGCCACTATCCATCTTTGATTATAAAGCTTGTGACTTCAGGTAATATCAAAGCAGACTGCATAGGATGCATATATGCCAATAAGAGACTGATCGATTGCAGTCCTAAATAGCAATGAAAAGATTCAAGCAAACAATACCAAGTGAATTTACTAGGTAATTTGTTTACAAAAAGCAGGTTAGCGAAGTATAACATAGATAGTTTATGGTCAAGCTACTACGTTTATCAAATCTATAAACGGTAATAAGATGGGATCTATATAACTCAATCTTTCTGATAAATATATTAACCATAAAATTGTCAATGATAACGTGGTTGTTAACTGGAATATGTTGATTGAAGTATAGTGCCAGTATAATAATAGGAGATGACATCATCAAATATTCAAAAATTTCGATTATCACATGAGGTTAGAATAATAGTTCCAAGGTTCAGGGAGAAATAATGAAATGACAATATCTTGAAGATTTGAAATCTGTGAGGTTACTGCCGCTCTCCTTGATAGATATGAAGAAGAAATGAAATACTAGGAATAGGTAATAGTTGCGTAAAAATAAGAAAATAGTAATAGATAATTTCTAACTGGGAAAAAACTAGAAGCAATGTTAAAGCCATAGGAGGATGAGGTTGTAATCAGTACTATAGTTTGAATCGCTAAATTATTAATACCTCTGTAGTACTTTCTTTGACCATGTAGATGATGCTGAGAGATAATTCTGGTATTGAAACATAGCCATAACCAATGAAGTTTGTTAGAAGCTAGTTGTTAATTGTTCTTATTATTATTTTGAAAACTAAGCAGTTTTCTTCTTTGAAATAAACTCAAGGAGTGCTTTTTTTCTTGACAAATCTACGGTGTCTTACAAAATCAGGTTAACTTGGACACGCCTAATGATTTGGCCTAAAGTGGATTTCTCTCTTAACACATCCAGAAATTATAACGGATTACAGGAGACATTGCAAAGCTCTTTCGCTTAGAATGTGTTCCATAAAAATTTCGAAATTTGGCAATATAGGATTACTGCTATAGTATCACCTTTAAATTCATTAAGAGTCCCACAATGGGACGAAACGGCCGTCTAGTGCTTCGAGGTTTTCCATGATGGTCTAGCTTCCATTGACTCATGATTTCAACAATGAAAATATTGAAATCTCAACAAAATCTCTTCTGATTATAATCATATGCTCACTAGTGACTGATTTCAAGATATATGTCGTGGAGCTCTAGTAAGAAGCAGTGACCAATGAAGTTCAAACAAGTTTGTTGGGAGATATAGACTCACTGAAGACAATTGGTGAACGATAGCTCAAACTTCTTGAGTTGGTTGAAATTAAACAATGACGTCATCAGATGCCGGCTCAATGGACTACCGGTTAGGTTCTCTGGCACGAGACAGGTAGGTCCTGGGTTCGTATCTCGAGATGCCGGATCGTGGATGCGCACTGCTGAGGAGTTCCACAATAGGACGAGACAGCCATCCAGTGCTTACAAGTTTTTCATGATTGTCTAGCTTTAATTGACTCAACTATGAAAATTCATTATTCATCAAAAAAGACACTATTAGTAAAATTGGTGGTTTTTCAAGTTAAAGATATAGCTTCAGATAAATGTCTATGAAACTGATAGGAAAATCATTTTTTACAAGCTTTTGGAAAAGTTTAAACAGTTCATCAACAATCTTTTCATCATTGCATATTTTTTTATTTTCTAGGATAATAAGTGAATCGAATTTCTTTTTTTGTGCAATGAAACTCAATCATTGACTTAGCTTTTTATTTCCGAATTATTATGAGGGATCATTTAGCCTGAATATGATGAATGATCACCAACTTACCATTTTCTCATTAACAAAAATAATTTTAATTAAATTGAAGAAAAACTTTCACCAACATAAAAAAAAATAAACAAAAAGTATTACAATACAGTCTAGTTTTTCATTGATCAACGTTTTAATAAACTTTATTTTAAACCAAGCTGGATAGTGTCCTTTTTGGGACACGTCAGACGGATGTACTTGCATTTCAGAGTTGATGTTCACTCTGGGACTGGAACCCAGTACCGTTCGTTTGAAATGCAATCACGTTATCCACTTATCTACTGAGTCCTGATAGACACTTGATTGTGCAATGGAATGAAGTTTAATTTCACTTACTATTGTTTGGTTGAATCTTCCCAATAATGTTAAAAACTGGAATTGATCATTCTCTTATTGATCATATGTGCATACTGTGCATAATACCTCCATATAGACTTAATCCACAAGCATTATAAACAAAGTTGGATAGTGACTAGCAGTGGAATCCAGGACGCATGTTTCTTCTTATTCTCAGACTCGTCAGGTGGACAAAATGCGCATCCTCGATCACAATGCTACCCACATATAGACAGTTAGAGAACAGTCAATTGCAGTCTTAAAATTATTAATTATGTAAAATTGATAATAAACTAAGTAATTTAGTTATAAACCAATTATTTCATTATTATTATTGGAGTTTTGTTTTAATTTTATTACCGGAAGTGTATTTATTTCAATCATTCATTTGTCTTTACTTTCAAAGGATAAAAAATGTAAATTATATTTAATCCTCATTTGTATTTTATTTCATTGTCGAATTTAACTAAAATGTATATTATACAAAATCTAATCTGCTTTCTTTCTTTCTTTCTTTCTTTCTTTCTCTCTGTCTCTCCCCCCCCTTCATAATACCCCATAGAGATATATATTTATATTGTTTTTCCCAAAACTCCCCCCTTCTTTCGGTTATTGAATAAATCAATAAAAAAAAACACTTACAATTCTATCATATTCATAATGATATTCAAATTGAAATTGTAATATAACAATATAGATTCAGAATTTTAATGAAATACATTCATTCATTCATTTTCATAATAAACTTGACAACTCTCATCTTTATTGTCTCCATTCTTTGTAGTTGTACATTATAGTACATTTGTAATTTTTTTATTTTATGAATAAGCCCTCCCCCCTCCACACAAAAAAAAATTTATTGAAAAATGTCATCCTATTCCGCTATTT